TCTACTAATATCAACAACAACACTACAATAGTGCGCATCCATCGGTCGTTACAACTCAAGGTAACTTGTTTTAATTCAAAATAATACCACTTACAATGAGCTGAAATGCTTTTAACTGAGTATTTTTGTGCGAGGTTACAATTGAGATTACAATAACACGAAAACAATTTCAATAGCTCAAGATGGATGATACTATCTGACCATCTGCAAATAAAACAATTACAGTCTATGACTGTTTTTTCTTAACTGATGAATTATTCAAACGATATTTCTTCAAAGTGACAATCAGCAGAATGGCATTAACAGCATAAATACCAAAGCAAACCAAACAAATGACACGTAAATAAATAAGTATCATGAACAAATAAACACTTAATGCATTCATCAAAAAGCACAATCCAAGTGAAACTTTGACAGACCAATCTGTAGATATGATTTGTAAAGGTATCATTACCGAATAAACCAACACACCATAAAGTGCATTTCTCTGAAAGAACAGCTTCAAGATGAGTCTGTTTCACTTTGAGATCTCACTGGGTTCCAAAGAGGATCTATTCCAAATTTCTGCACCATTAAAGGCGGCTTTTCGTTGAAAGTCTATTCACAAAAAAATACAAAACGAGAAGGAATTTGAGGCATAAAACAACTAACTTGGTTGAGAAAGTGTGCTTCACCGAGCAAAGGTTCAACAATACCAAGTCCTCTGGCAAATTGTGAATGCAGTGCTTTCGAACAACTTACAAACGAATTCACGTCACATAGCGGTTGGTAATTAATTTCAGTATTATCTAACATCAGCTCCACATATAAACCATATATGGATATAGTGAGACCAACAAGTGTCGTTATTAAGCCGGCACGATTATAAAAAGTTTTTTGCTGTCGTTCATTGCTTTCGGTCATTGCTACAATTTAGCTATCACTATGAATTGAAGAATTTCGGATTTTATAAAACAAACACAAAATTGCAGTTGACTTTGAATTAGTTCCCTTATTGCAACAAAATTCGTACGAACATAAACATATATTTCTTGAAACCATAATGTGTCTGCATTGCTCTCTGCACAAGTAGCCAAAACGCAATTTGATCTGTGCGCCCATCGTAGCGATTTATGGTGAGAGAACGAGAGGAAAT